GATCGCGGGGGGGGGGGGGGGGGGGGGGGGGGGGGGTATGGATCGGGGGTCTGGGTGAGAGACGAGATGTGGCGGGGTAGGGAGGAGTTGGGTAGGGTGTTGGGCGGGATGAGGCAAAGGGGAAGCTGGCAGACGGTTGGGAAATGGATCGGGGAGGGAGTCGGGGAGCGGTAGATATGGAGGAGACTGGTGGGAAAGGGGGCGGTGTGGGGTGGGAGGTTGGGGTTGTGATTTGGGGTAAAAAGTCGAAATTTTCTCTTTCCGACCCTTAGCCTTTCGAGGTGACCTAACGTCCTTTGACGTTTGTTTGTTTGTTTATTTTGTTTGTTTTGTTTGTTTTGTTTGTTTTATTTGTTTGTTTGTCGATTCACTTTCCAACCTAAAAAAAAGCCCAAATGCTCAGCCCAGGACTTGAAACTGGGGCCTTTTTCCTTGATGCAAGAATGGTAAACTGTTAGGTTTGCTTGTTTGTTCATCTGAGATTTGCTTGCTTTTTGCTTCGCAAGCTCGGCATTCCATTGGCAAATGCTCACGCCAGGACTCGAATCTGCAGCCTGTTCTTCATTTGTTTTTCCTTTATGCAAGAAAGCTAAAATGTCAGGTTTGATTTGTTTGTTTCCACTTTCCGAGCTCTGATATCATTTTGCCTATCGGTTGAGTGTTTTGCCTTGTTGTGGCAGGTTGCAGGTTTGAGTCCTGAAGTGAGTGATCAGAACTTTTGAGCTTGCAAAGAGCAAAAAACGGACAAAAGAGAAGCAAAGGGAAAAAACTGCCCTCTTTCCGATTTTCCTTCATGAAAGAAAACGGTTACTAGGAAGCGGTTAGGAAACAGTGCGATTTGCTGGAGCCATCCAGATTTCAGTGTCAGTCTGGCAGGGTAAGAAATTAAGAATGGCACTATTACATCTTCGTTTTTCTTTGGTTGAGTCCATCTGTCAGAATGCACCAGGATGACAAGATAGGCACAGATTATGCAGAGTTGAAGGCGGATGGTCTCGATCGAACCCATCTTTCCCTGTACTCCCTCGGCAGCCCAGAGCACGTAAGCCAAGCATGGAAGTGGATCGACAGTCTGAGCATAAGGTTTGCAGCCATGTGTGAGTGATGGCTGCCAGGCCGAGGGAATCACAGCTAGTTTGTTTTTTTTCAAGCTTTTTTAAACTTTTTTTTTTTTTTTTTTTTAGTTTTTTAGTAAATTTTTACTGTAAACAAGTCCTTATGGCCCTGGCTCCATATCCATTCTGGGGATCATCAGTTCGGTTCTTATTTCCCGGGCAAGTCAAAATAGAAAAATCCATCATTTACACGCTCACGCTTCCTTCTGTTCGGCCGAAGGAAATCACAGTTAAATTGTTGTATGGCAAGAACATGGAATACAGGGGAAATGGAATTTCAACGGTGACGATGCGATCACATATGATGACGTAACCAGAGCAATAGGATTCACCAGGGAAGATGCAGGGCTTATTCATCTGTGCAGCAGCCTCTCAAACATCCCATTCGATTGTGGGAAAGCTTGTAGTAATCAACAACTCAACAACCAGATTGGGGGTCAACTTTCAAGGGATTTGAACTGGCTAGAGTAAGCAAACATTCGTTTTGCTATCTCCAAACAGCCCACCATTCAGTCAGTTTGCGCTCGTAGAAGCGGACACAAGCAATCATCCATGCATTCAAAAAAGAACTGATGATCAGGACACCAGCTGGGAAGGCAAGAATCAAAATATCTTCCAAAACTGCTCATGCTCATCCAGAAATGTGAAGATAACCAGTTCTTCCTGCATCAGGGGAGCGAATCTTTTGCAATCTCCCAGTGCAAACCATTGCACACAGTCCGCCGTGCTGCACAATTTTCCCCAAGTTGCGTCGTCACCCCGCTGGGCCTGATCAGCATGTTAGGTCTGTGTAAGCACCTGCAGTCCCTCACAGTAAATTTATTAACCCAGCTTGACTCAGCAGCAAAACCGCAGCAAAAAAACTCCGACCAACTATCCTGTCACCAAGCTAGCGGATCTACTCAATCAGGCTGCATACTGGAGATAAGAGAGCAAGGGAATCCAAGCTGATTGATTCATGGTAGCTTAGAAGGAGGGGAAGATGCACATGTGAGGAGGCAGAGATAGTCTGGAGTCCAGGGACAGAAAGGAAAGTTTCACGAAGTTTATGCACATCTCTGTTTACTTAAACCACCAACTTAAACCACCAGTATGTTTCGCAGTCATCTTTGTAGGACGCGCCATGCATGGAGCTGCATCAGGCGGGGTGTGCTGGGGTGCTGTTTCGCTGGAAATCCATCCATCCAAACGGGCTGCATGCAACGGTCGATTTGCCGGGATGGATGGATTTCCAGCGAAACGGCACCCCAGAACATCCCGCCCGATGCGGCTGCATGCACGGCGCGGCATAGACAAATGACTGAGAAGCGTACTGGTGGTTTTATTTAAGTGTGCTGTGAATGCATGTCTGATTGCAAGCCTGCGATTTTGCATGATCAGGCCACCATGTCATGGATGTAGCCTCTCAGACTTTGTCCAACCGCATTGGCATAGTACAACCCTACTGCAATAGTATAGCCTCTCAATCTGAGTGGCGAATGAGTAGAAGGATTGAGATCCTCGACGGTGGAAGTCGGGGAGATGCCGGGGAGATGGTGATTTCGCCATGATATTAAAACTCATGTCACCTTCTTCTTCTTATTGAGTACCATATTGTGATTGCTGATATCCTCACCCGCCAGCCATAGTAAGCTCCTATCATGGGGAATTATGGCATTGCAGACTGATAGATCATTGCACGCAAACGAATGCAGTAACCCCACGCTTCTCCCCGCCTCCTGGCAGTTTCAAGGGCCCCACTGGCAGGTACCCCCCAAACGAATACAATAACCCCACGCTTCTCCCCGCCTCCTGGCAGTTTCAAGGGCCCCAATGGCTGGTACCCAACAGGCAGTTCTCGGTGGAAAGCACAGACCTACCCCCCAGCACAGACTCAGCCCCATTTCTAAAGGAAGTGAAGTAGCTACAGGCTTCCGCCTTTCCCTGCATCCATACCATGAATCAGAGTCTGTCGTTTCAGTCTTTCAGAGGAGACAAAGGGTGTCGCTCCACTACTCAACATTCTAGCACATGTATTTGGACTGTAATGTTGACCATATCCATTCAGACTGATCCACCATTTCGACTGCATATACACCATTACCAGCACAAGATACATGAAGCCTGTTGTGCCATAGACCGAGGCCCAAACTGTGAGATGACTGAGAAAGAGTTTGGGGGCAAAACAATGCAATACCCACCTTGAGCTCGTTTTTCATGGCTTCAGCCTGAGCTTCATTATCACCAATCCTCATAGTCCATTTCTCATTGAACTGAATTATAAGACAGTGGAAAAGATTAACGAACGAAAATATCAAGATGGTAAACATAGTCCTTCAGGACGTCCGTTAAAATTGGAATGATACAGAGAAGATTAGCATGGCCCCTGCGCCAGGATGACACGAAAAAAGAAAAAAGAAAACAAAAAAAGACAGTAAACAACATGCAGTTCAGCAAACACTAGCATGACCAAACCGGAACCACAGACAAATTGCTTCACTTTTTCCTTTTCGTGGGCTAATGACCAATCATTGGAACATCCATGACAACGCGTTTCAGTGTTACCGTATGATCCTTCCCTGGGTAGGAGGCCAGGTTATAATGTTGATGACAGACAGTATCTGACCTGAAACTGGGCTGGATACGGAAACAATGACCTTTTTTTTTTTTTT